TCTTGTGGCAATGAACTCCCTTAGCTTTTGTTTATCTGGGATAGTTATTATTTCTCCATCATATCTGAAGGATATTTTTGCTGGATAGAGTATTCTTGGCTGGAAGTTTTTGTCCTTTAGCATTTTGAATATATCGTTTTGTTCTCTCCTGGCCTGTAAAGTTTCTGTCGAGAAAGCAGCTGAGAGCCTGATAGAAAATCCTTTGTATGTTATTTTTTTTTTGTCTAGGTGCCCTTAATATTTTTTCTTTGTCGTTGACTTTTGCCAGCTTTACTACTATATGCCTTGGAGAGGGTCTTTTCGTGTTGATGTATTTAGGAGATCTATTGATTTCATTCACTGGTATTTTCAGCTCCTTCCCCAGGTTTGGGAAGTTCTCAGATATTATTTCTTTGAACAAGTTCTCTGCTCCTTTTTCCCTCTCTTCTCCCTCTGGAATACCTATAATCCTTATGTTGGATTTCCTAATTGAGTCGGATATTTCTCGGAGAGTTTCTTCATTTCTCTTTAGTCTTAGTTCTCTTTCCTCCTCCATCTGTATCACTTCTGCCTTGCTGTCCTCGATATTGCTAACTTTTTCCTCCATATTGTCAGCTCTGGTGCTTAAGGCTTCCAGATTTGTCTTTATCTCCTCTACTGTGTTTTTCACCTCTATGATTTCTGATTGGTTTTTGTTATAGTTTCAATGTCTTTTGTGAAGAAACTCCTGATTTCATTAAATTGTCTGTCTGTGTTTTCTTGTGTTTCATTAAGCTTCTTTATGATAGCTATTTTGAATTCTCTGTCATTAAGGTTATACATTTCTGTGATTGCCGGGTTGACTTCTGGGTGCTTGTCATTTTCCTTTTGGTCTGGAGATTTAACATATTTTTGAATGGTCCCTGTGGTGTTGGCTTACCTTTCCTCATCATGAAAATATATGGTGGCAGTTTCCTCTTGCTGCCGCTGGGTGGGGGTCAGGGGCTGTGTATTCTGGCCCGCCTCAATCCGTGGGCACTCTTATCAGCCCCTGGCTGATCTGTGGTGTGGCTGAGTGGAGGCTGCTGGGGGGAAGTGTGGAAACAGCTGGAGCTGGAGGGCAGCTAGGCCGAAGCAGCTGGGGCTCAGGTGCGGGTGGCTTGATGCATCTGCAGCTGCAGTGCCGCTGGGCCGAAGAAGCTGGAACTGGAGTGTGCTGAGCCGAAGAAGGAGGAGCTGGAGTGCATTGGGCCAAAGAAGCTGGAACTGGAGTGTGCTGGGCCAAAGAAGCTGGAACTGGAGTGTGCTGGGCCGAAGAAGGAGGAACTGGAGTGCTCTGGGCCAAAGAAGCTGGAACTGGAGTGCGCTGGGCCGAAGTTGCTGGCGCCAAGTCAGCTGTAGCCTGCGCACAGGCCAAGCCCAAGCAGCTGGAGCTGGGGGGATGGAGGGCGGTCAAGTCGAAGGAGCTGGGGGCAGGGCACATTCCAGCCGAAAGAGCTGGGGCTGTGGCACGGTGGAGCTGGGGAAGCTGGAGCCATGGCTTGGGCCAGCTGGAGCAGCTGGGGCTGTGGCGTGGTGGGGCCTAAGCTGCTGCTGCCTCTGGTGCCGGGGTGCAGGCTCACCCCACTGCTGGTCACGCCGGGTGCCTGGGGGCCACTGCCTCTGGGGACAGGGCTGAGCTGAAGCACCTCTGTGCTGAAGCATCAGTTGGGCGGGCCGGGTGGCGAAGGGGCGCTTACTCTTGCCTCCCTGATCTCAGAGGTTTCTCGCCTTGCTGCTCTCTCTGCTCTCCTGAGGGGCTAGCTTTTTGAAACTACCCTCACTACAGTTCCGCTCCCTCTGTAAGGGGATCCCCTCAGGCTGTGAGGGGTCTTGGAGAGCGCTGTTTTTCACGCCGCAAGCTGCCCCTCCTCCGAGAGCCGCATGGTCTCAGTCTCTGAGTCGCAGTCCTTGGGGAAGGAAGGGAGCTCCTCTTACCTCCTTCCATTTACTCTGGAGATTCCAGAAGCTCAGTCCTTGGGTGTACGGCTGCCTGGGTGCCTCTTCCGTCCCCTGTGTTGTGTGAATAGCTTCTGTTGGAATATGAATGTCATTTTTGTTGTGTCTTAGAGGGGGAGAGTTCAATGGGAGAAGCTTACTCTGCCATGATGCTGACGTCACTCAGTTTTTTTTTTTTTTTTTTTAATCAATTCAGACTTTCTGTTTCTTCTTGAGTCAGTTTTGCTGGGTTTTTTTTTTTTAGGAATTTGTCCATTTTATTTAAGTTATCTAATTTATGAGCATACAGTTGTTCTTAGTATTTCCCTACAATCCTTTCTGTTTTTGTAAGGTTGTTAAGTGATGTTCTCTTTTTTCATTCCTGTTTGTAATAAATTGAGTCTTCTCTCTATTTTTTCTTGTCAGTCTAGGTAATGGTTTGTTAATTTTCTTGATCTTTTCACAGAACCAAATTTTGGTTTCATTGATTCTATTTTTCTAATCTCCATTTCATTGATCTCTTCTTTTTTTTCTTTTTTTGGTGAGGAAGATCAGCCCTGAGCTAACATCCATGCTAATCCTCCTCTTTTTTTGCTGAGGAAGACTGGCCCTGGGCTAACATCCGTGCCCATCTTCTTCCACTTTATACGGGACGCTGCCACAGCATGGCCTGACAAGTGGTGCTTTGGTGCGTGCCTGGGATCCGAACTCGGGCCGCCAGTAGCAGAGTGCGCGCACTTAACCGTTAAGCCACGGGGCCGGCCCTGAGATCTTTTTTAATGTGGGTGTTGTGATTGTCAACTAAACAATGTAAATTGGACAGTTGTTTTACCTGCAGAATGACTTTATTTGGGAACAACCAAAAGAATTCCTATTCAGGATATACCGGCTGTGGCAAACTGTGGGCAAATCCAAGAAAAGAGGAGGGGAGCTTCCTTTTATAGAGAAAAGGGGGAGTTGGGAGGGGTTGTAATAAACAAAAAGTCCACTGGTGGAAACTGGGAGTCCAAAGTTTAGAGGCTTCCCATTGGTTGGGTTGGCACAGTCTGTCATTGGCTGGGCTGCAAGGGGAGAGAAATCTTCCCTCCTCCTGCTGAGTAGTAAAATAGAAAACAGCCTTCCTGTCAGAGATGCAAGCTGATCTCTTCCTGTTTGCAGTAATTGACCACAGATGATGGGGCATGAGAGCTCCCCCTACAGGCCTTCCCTTCTCTAATTTAGTTGAGGTTTCTTTCATTACTTTCATGTGCCATAGTAAGAAATATATGTTTTGTTTTTGTTCCCAGTTCCTGGTGCACAGCTCCTAACATCCTTGGAATCTGTGGAGTGATAAGAGTGTCTTTGGTGTGTGAATGTGATGACTGGTGGCAGGGGACCCCTAGAGAGCTTCAGGATGGGGGCTGGTCACCAGAAAGACCAAGGCATCATTGGAAGGTTGGATTTTCAGCCACCCTACCCCCCATCCTCCAACTCCCCACCCTGACCTCCAGGGAGAGGAGAGGGGCTGGAAATTGAATCAATCACCAATTGTCAGTGATTTAATTAATCATGCCTATGTAATGAAAACTCCTAAATGACAGAGTTTGGAGCGCTTGTGGGTTGGTGAACCCATGCAGGTGCTGGGAGAGTGGTGCCACTGGAGGGCATGGACTCCTCAGACCCCACCTCCTCACCCCACCCCACCCCACCCCAGGTACCTTGCCTTTTGCATCTCTTCCACTGCCTCTGTTCCTGAGTTGTATCCTTTATAATAAACCGGTAATAGTAAGTAAACTCTTTTCCTAGTTTCTGTGAGCCCTTCTAGCAAATTATTGAACCTGAGGAAGGATCAATAATTGTGGGAATCCATGATTTATAGCTAGTTGGTCAGAAGTGCGGCATGCCTGGGATTTCCAATTGATATCTGAAATGGGGGCAGTCTTGTGAGACTGTGCCCTTGTCCTGTCAGGTCAAGCACTAATTCTGGAGAGTTAGTGTTAGAACTGAATTGAATCCTGGGACACCCTGTTGGTGTCAGAGAGTTGGAGAAATGGTGTGGAAACCCCCCGCCCCCACATTTGGTGTCAGAAGCATTGTGAGTAGAACTGCACAGAGGTATTTATAAATTTTCTAAGTGCTAGTTTTTCTCATAACTTTTGGTGTGTTGTGTTTTCATTTTCCTTCGTCTCAAAGTGCTTTGTAATTTTCCTTGTGGTTACTTAGTGTTTTATTTAAATTCTATAAATTTGTAAGTTTCTTAAATTTCTTTCTGTTGTCGATTTCTATTTTAATTTCTTTGTGGTCAGAGAATGCACTCTATATGATTTCAATCCTCTGAAATCTATTGAGGCTTGTTTTATGTCCTAGCAAATGGTCTGTGGTGGAGAATGTTCTGTGTGCGTGTGAGAACCTGTATTCTGCTGTTGCTAGGTGGCATGTTGTACAGATGGTCTGTTAGGTCTGGTTGATTGTTGTCTTTGTCTGTTTTCTGCCTAATGGTTCTGTCCATCACTGAAAGTTAGAAACGGAAGTCTCCAACTGTCGTTTGTCTAAGTCTTTCTCCAGTTATGTCAGTTTTGCTTCACAGGAGGTTCTTTTTAAAAAAATTGTGGTAAAAAACAGAGCACGATCTACCCTCTTAACCAATTTTTAAATGTACAGAGGAGGTTCCTTTTCTAACGCTCCGTTTCCTTCCTGATGGTCATGATGACATGAGTTCCTATGGTGTGTGGCAGGGTGGGTCAGCCTCCTTTCTTCTCCTAGGATTTGCACCTTCAAGGTCCTGTGTGGTTGCCCAGCTGGAGGATGAGGAAGAGCCCTGGGTGCCCAACATGGTGGACGTGACTCTGGTCAGCAGAGCAGAGGCCAGGAGGGGTCCTGGTCCTGGTGAGTGGGCTGGGGGTGCCTTGTTGAGTGACAGGCTCCCACGTGCTGGGTGTCTGTGTGTACTGGTGTTGTGGTGCCGAGGCCAGGACTGCATTTATCCCCACCTTTCCTCTCCCTTCTGGACACACCGTATGGTCTTGCCATCTTTACTGTTACTCTCGAACCGTGGATGACCCACCTCTCTGGCCTCTGTGTCTTGTGATTTCCCCTTCTCTGTGCCAGCGCAGAGCTGTCGACTAGTGACGTACTCTGTGTGTGACTTGAGATGTACACCTGTCCTTAAATAATCTCTGAACACTGGCTACTCTGTTTCATTGTCCTTTTCTTCGAGTAGACATATCCTCTTCACAATATTTGCTGTCACCAGCAGCTGAGCCCTGCTGGAAACCCATTGCATTGGAGTGGCTCAGAGACCCCAACTCTCCTCCCTGCATTGCTCCCATCTTTGTGTCTTCGTCCCTGCTGAGGTCCTCCCTGTTCTGTGGTCTGCCAGAGCCCTGTTCTTGGCTAGCCCTTGCTCACCCAGACCTCTCCCAGTAGCCTCCTGGTAATTCTATGGACTCCTTTCTGGGTGTGTCTGGCATGCATTGGTGCTGAAGGTGCCTCCGCCCTCTAATCTGGCTCTAAGTAACTGACTTGTCTGTTTCAGGTTGTCCATGTACACTGGAGGATGAGGAAGCCCCTCCTGAGCAGGTGAAGAGCTACAGAGTCCGCCTGTCCGAGAAGCCCTTTCTGTATGGGGTGTCTAGGAAGGCTGTCCCAGCCACCTTAGGCCTCCTCCTACACCAGGCCACCCACAGCAAGGGGAAGCCACACGGGAGCACCGAGCACAAGGAGGCCTTCCCGCCCAGCTCCAATCACCAGCCGCAGCAGGGTGTCCACGCTGCACAGAAGCCCTTCAAGTGCAGCGACTGTGGGCAGGCCTTCCTGAAGGCCTTCATGCTCCTCGACCACTTAACTCACTCTGAAGAGAGACCCTTTAGATGCCCAAAAGGTGGAAATGTCCCCAAGGAGAAATCAACCCTTGTGAATCACCAAAAAATTCACACCGGAGAATCATCCCATGTGTGTAATGCGTGCGGAAAGGCCTTCAGTTACCCATCTAAGCTGAGGAAGCATCAGAAGGTTCACACGGGCATAAAACCTTTCAAGTGTGGTGAGTGTGGGAAAACCTTCAACCGCAAAGACGCACTTGTTCTGCACCGGAGAATCCACACCGGAGAAAGGCCTTATGAGTGCAGTGAATGTGGCAAAGCCTTCAGCGTTCTGTCCACCCTCATTCGGCACCGGAAAGTTCACGTTGGAGAAAGGCCCTATGAGTGCAGGGAATGTGGGAAGTTCTTTAAATACCACCATAGCTTTATCCTTCACCAGAGAGTTCACACCGGAGAACGGCCCTATGAGTGCAAACAGTGTGGGAAAACGTACGTGACCCGCTCTGGCCTCTATCAGCACTGGAAAGTGCACACCGGAGAACGACCCTACGAGTGCAGCCTGTGTGGGAAAGCCTTCACGACCAGGTCCTACCGCAATCGGCACCAGCAGTTCCACACGGAAGAGAGGTCCTATGAATGTACAGAATGTGGGAAGGCCTTCAAGCACAGTTCCACTCTCCTTCAGCACAAGAAGGTCCACACTAAAGAAAGGCCATAGGAGGACAGGGATGTGGGAGAGCCTTTAACCAGGGCTGACCCCTTGTTCAACGTGAAAGGTCTCACTCCAGAAAGGAGATTAGGAGAATGGGGTGGTGCCAGGTATGTGGGAAGCTTTTGGGAGCTGCGTTGCACTCTGACCTGCCCAGGCTATTGGCACTGTTAAGTCACTGCCAGTTTCTGTGACAGAGCCATCCCACTTCTACCACTGGTAGGTGCCGGTGGTGTGTATCAGTCCCTGCAGCATGCTCAGTGACTGCAGACCTCTGTGTTCCCCACTCTGTATGGGAGAGCATCATGAGTGATAGGGCGCATAATGGGCCTTATTCCCTCCTCCAACTGGTTGAGGTGTGGATGTGACCGAATTCTGGCCAAGAGTGGCTGAGCAGTGTCTACTGGGGGCTCCCAGGGAAGAGTAACCATTGTCATGGCTGTTGATACTGCATGTGGTACCTGTCATGGGTTTATCCAGCCCCAGCACTGGCTCGCTGCTCTGGAATGTGTGGTAATGAAGGCCTCACTGTTTAAGCATGAAGCCTTTATTATCGGGGGTTCCGATCCCTGTTTGTGGAGGGATTGAGAGCAGAATTGGGCTCATAAACGGAGGGGATGGCATCTGTGGGGTACCTGACTGCTGTCTGCCTCAGTAGGGACAGCGGGACGGCAGAGAGCAGCTCTGGTCAAGATTGCCTAATGTGCGCTGGTGTCTGAGGCCCCGCGCAAAGACTGAAGGACTCTGTGGGTGACTCTTGTAGCCTGGAGCTCACGTTTATTTGTGGGTCCAGAGCTCGTGGAGAATGGGGTCATTGGCATAAGATCCCCCGTGTGTGTAAGGACAGCAGAGCTAGGTCCCTTGTTCCCAGAGAATGTTCCATAACCTGCAGCATTGGTCAGAAGAAGCTGTTTCCACAATCAGCTCGGAAACCATGTTCTCTGAAATCTAGAGTGTGGAGGTAAGTTCTAGACTGACCCTAAGACCTGCAGGGCCTGTTGGAAAGAGTAAGCGGGCACAGAAACACTGAGTGGAGTGATGGGCGGGGGGCAGTGGGCGTCTGGTAAACTGGAGGGTGTGAGCTGCATCTGTAGAGGCCTCCACAAGTGTTCCTGTGCCCGTGGTTCCACGGGGCGAGGACTGCAGGGTTCCCTGTGGCCGAGGTCACTGTCAGCAGATAACCTACAGGTTTTCTGGAGTCTCATCACCTTCCTGGGCATGGCCGTCACCCTGGGACTGGGGAGAAAGGTCCCTTAGTCCTGGGATGTGGCTTTAGTGACCCAGCCAGCATGCCTGGTGCGTCTGCACACGGTGGCCTTCGTGGTTTCTGTTGCCACTGTCCCAGGGCTTGAAGGAGAGAAGTTGAATCAACATATGGATCCATATCTGGTTTGTAGGGCCTTTTGATTTAAAAAATTTGGAAACTATTTTCCCAAAAGGTAATAAAATGTTAGTTCAGCAAAACTTGTATGTTGGTTGTAGCTGTGTCGCTGGTCCAGAAATTGTGCTTCCTGCAAGAAGAGACTGTTAGCGGGGAGGCCTGTTTCAGGAGAGCACCAGTGACCCTGGACTTGAGGGGTTTTGGGCCGCAGGGCTCAGCCAGTACCCCGTGTGGGGTTGGAGCCCACTGCTGCCTTCTCTAACTGGGGCGATTCTTCTCACCCCCCCCCCGATGGTGGGGTGATGACCACACGGCTGGAGCCCCAGGCAGGCTTGCAGTCAGGGCAGTTTTCAGCCAGTCTGCTCAGTTTCTCCCCAACACTGTAGGTATACAGCCCCCTACTGGGCCTGCTCAGGCCCTCCTCCCTGGGTGTGATAATTATCTGCCTCCAGCATGGGGGTCCGTGTCCAGCTGAGCCAGGCAGGGCTCAGATCTCCAACCAAATAGGGGTAGGGTGACATTGGTCGTTAGAGCTCGATCCTTGTGCCCTGTGTGGGTGGTCTTGGTTAGAGCTCAGAAGATGGCGCCCAGCATGAGGTGAAGGATCCTGCACTTGCCCTGCACTGGCCTGCTGGTCTCCCACCAGGGCTCCGCACGCAGCAGCCAGCCTTTTGGGGGGGGTGTGGGGGTGACGTTTCCCTAGTGACGCTGGGACATTGGGAACAAAGCCCGGTGGCTCTGACTCTGACCTGCCCGGGTACCGTTCTGGGTGGGGCTCGCTCACCCCCTCACTTTAGCCCAAACCTCGCCTGGCAGCAACGCCAGCAGCCCCTGTTGCAGACTCCACCCCGGCAGTGGCAGCTCCCCTCTGGAATCCTCCGAGGTTCCCAGCCCCTGGGCATATTCTGGTGCCTCAGCCTATCAGGGATGCCTCCCCATCCTCGCTGCCTCTCCCAGTAACACCCCTTCAACAGTGAAGCCAAGATGTTTCCTCTTCATGAGTCCCCTCATCCCTTCCTCTTTCTCTGTCCTCCATGCCTTGATGGCAGGCCGACTCCAACCCTCTGCCACCCTAAGTTTGTCCTCGTGGCTACATCTGCATGTCAGCAATCAAGGGATACATTTGTGCTCATTAAAGGCTTAGCAACATGCAAGCAAGGGCTCAAGTCTTCACTGATCTTGGGAACTTGTGCCAGACAACATGATTCTAGCTGTGTGTGTGTGGGTGTGGGTGTGGGTGGGTGTGTGGGGGAGATCAGCCCTGAGCTAACATCTGTGCTAATCCTCCTCTCTTTGCTGAGGAAGACTGGCTCTGAGCTAACATCTATTGCCAATCCTCCTCCTTTTTTTTTTTTCTTCCCCGAGGCCCCAGTAGATAGGTGTATGTCATAGTTGCACATCCTTCTAGTTGCTGTATGTGGGACACGACCTCAGCATGGCCGGAGAAGCGGTGCATCGGTGCGCGCCCGGGACGCGAACCCGGGCCGCCAGTAGTGAAGTGCGCACACTTAACCGCTAAGCCACTGGGCCGGCCCCTGATTCTAGCTTTTTAAAGTTCATCTACAGAGGCAAAGTGCATATGCTTTCACTGTGGTGTGTGACGTGCTTCCTCCCCTTGTCAGCAGGGCAGGTGTCAATTTATTAAACAAAATAGTGACAGTTATGACAAACGTGCACGTCTCCATATTAATTAAGCAGGAGAGCAGGATTGAAACTCTGAATTTTCTCAGTTCGAAACCTTGTCTTCTAAGACTCTGTGAACTTGTTCAGGGGGCCAGGTACTATCTTGTTCTGCAGATGCCTGTGAGGGAGTGCTTTTCTCATCTCTTGGTGAGTGTCTCAGTCCGTTCGGGCTGCTATAACAAAATACCATAGACTGGGTGGCTTAAACAGCAGAAATTTATTTCTCACAGTTCTAGAGACTGGGAAGTCCAGGATCCAGGTGCAGGCCAATTTAGTTCCTGGATGAGAGCTCTCTTCCTGGCTTGTAGACGGCCATCTTTTGCTGTGTCCTCGCATGGCAGGGAGAGATGAAGCTCTGGTATCTCTTCGCCACATGGAGGCTCCACCCTCATCTAAACCCAGTCACCTCCCCAAGACCCCACCTCCTGACACCGTCACAGAGGAGGCTAGAGCTTCATTACATGAATTTGGGGAAGACAAACATTCAGTTCATAACGTCTTTTTCTTAATATTGGTGACTTTCATTTCAAAGCCATGCTCTGGAATTTAGTCATTCAGCACCCTAAGCCCTACGCAGACAGTACAGCTCCCCTGCAGTGGTCCCTACATATCAATGCCCGCTCTCCACCTAGGACGGCCCAGGGCAGGGCTTCCCGGGGTCCAGCAGACTTTTCTGCCACACCATGGAAGGGTCAAAGCTGCGTCAGTCTCCCTCTCGAGGCTCAGATCCCACCAACATGAAGGTTCCTCATGTGTCCACTCCGCCTTCTTACCCGGAATCACCCTCCCTGCCCTGGGACGCCCCCGGCAGCGCTGCACCTGGACAGGGAAGTCGGCCTCCACCACAGCGTCACCACACTCGGCCCAGGCATCTCGGAGCAGCACGTCCAACTCGTGGTCCCAATGGGCTGAGAAGAAGCCACGCTCCCCCCCAGCTTACAGTGCCGGCGTGACCCAGTTCCCAACCCCGCGCCCTGCTTCTCCCCCACACGGGCCAGGTGTCCTCATTGCTCTCAGTTGCTCCAGCTCACTCCTGCCCGGGGCGTCTGCACTCAGTTCCCTGTGGCCAGAATGCTCTCCTGGAGTCACCTCCTCAGAGAGGTCTTCCCAACCATCAGTCTGAAGTAGGTCGTCGCTTCCTGTCCCTGTCTCACTTCCTGCAGAGCTCCAGCCACTCTGCAGTGGCCCTGTTCTTTGGTCTGTTTGCACGTTAAGTCTCTGCATTGCACATCGGATTGAGATGAAATGTGTCTACCCCAGAGCTCGGGCAAGGGCCTGGCACACAGTAGACCCCAGGGAATGTTGAGTGACTATTTGGCTGCTCTGCAGGACTGTGCTGGGCCCAGATCACAGCCCTGTCATCACAGCTGACTGCGGAGGAGGCAGAGAGGACACCAAAGGGAAAGAGCAGAAAATCCCTCTTCCTGCACTCAGCAAGTTCCTATATATCCCCTGCCTTGTGAACTGCTACTGCGTGCTGGAGACTGAACTCGCCCAGCAGGGACAGAACACATAGGGGCCTCCTGCATGGAACTGACATTCTAGGGGGGGATGCAGACTGAATGTTTGTGTCCCCCCAAAATACAGTGGGTAAAACTTATCCCCATTGTGATACTTGGAGGTGATTAGGTCGTGAGCATGGACCCCTCATGAATGGGATTAGTGCCCTTATAAGAGACCCCCAAGAACTCCCTCCCTCCTTCTGCCATGAGGACACAGCGAGAAGAGGCCTGTTAACTAGGAAGTGGATCCTCACCAGACACCAAATCTGCTGGCACCTTGATCTTGGACTTCCCAGCCTCTAATACCGCAAGAAATAAATTTCTGTTGTTTCTAAGGCCTCAGACTATGGTGTGTTGTTATAGCAGCTGCAATGGACTAAGACATGAGGAGACACACGTCCCTCAGGAAACCACACAACTGGACTGGTGACGAGGGCTACGAAGGGGCATCCTTGGTGTGTCCATTGAGGCCCCTCTCGATTCTCTGCATTTCAGGACCCCTGGTCTGTCCTCGTGTCTGTCTCTTGGGGGCTTAGGTGACCACTGCACTTGGCGTTTACCTTTTAGTGAAGGGAAGTCATCAAGGCTGCTTCTTTCGTGTAGTCCTGACTTTTTTTTTTTAATCTAACATTTAATGATTCTACTTTTTTACAATCCACAGAGCATATTCAGATTTCACGTTATATGTTCATGCACGTGTGTGTAGTGCTGTGCAATTTTATCACGTGTAGCTTCATGGAACTTATCACCTCAATCAAGATATAGAACTGTTCAGACACCACGGAGGCCTCCCTCAGGCTACACTTTTATAGCCAATTCCCCAACCCTAACCCCTAGCAGCCACTAAGCTGCTTCTATAATTTTCTCATTTTAAAATGATTTTGATGTGATCCAATTTTTCTTTTTATGAATTGTGCTTTTCTAGTCAAGTCTAAGAACTCTTCACTTGGTCCTAAGTCCCCCAAATTTTCTCCTGTTTCTTCTAAAAAGTTTAGTTTTCTGTTTTATATTTAAATCTGTGATTCCTTTTCATTTTTGTGTAAGGTGTGAGATTTAAGTTATTTTTTGCCAGTGGTTATCCATTTGTTCCAGCACCATTTGTTTAAAAAGTTATTCTTCCTCCATTTAAATGCTTTTGCACCTTTGTCAAAAATCCTTTGGGCCTGTATGTGTGGGTCCATTTCTAGGTTCTCTGTTTTGTTCTATTGATCTATCCCTCCACCAGCACTGATGACTAATTTTATTTATTTTTATTTTTATTTATTTTTTTTAAAGATTTTATTTATTTATTTTCCCCCCAAAGCCCCAGTAGATAGTTGTATGTCATAGCTGCACATGCTTCTAGTTGCTGTATGTGGGACACGGCCTCAGCATGGCCGGAGAAGCGGTGCGTTGGTGCGTGCCCGGGATCCGAACCCGGGGCTGCCAGCAGCGGAGCGCGCACACTTAACCGCCAAGCCACAGGGCCGGCCCTGATGACTAATTTTAATATCTCTATTTCCCCACAGTTTGAACTGGGTGGAGTGGACTGTGAGACCTGGAAGAGTAGCTGGATTTTCTGTCCCCCTTCAGCTGGAACTCAGCATGCTCAGGGAACCTTCCCCTTCTCCTCTCCATGCAGCAAAGGGTCCTTCCCAAAGGAGACTGGAGATCCAGCCCCATGGTTTCCCATTTCCCTCAGGACCTGACCCTTCTCCCCCTGGGGCCCATTTCTAACCAGGGATGGCTTGGGGGCTTCCATCAAAGATTTCTCTTTTTTTATGGACATTGTTGACTGTACATATACCTATCCTGGATTTGTACAGCCTTCACATCACTCATCCCTGAAACGTGGTACCTTACACTGCTCTAAATTAAATAACACGTCTTTTTTTTTTTAAGCCACTTGTAATCTTGGGGGTTGTGTTCATTTTGGGGGGTGTGTGAGAACACAATTGTGCCCTATGTACGGAAAGGCACACATTTTAATCCAGATGCCTTTTCTTTTTCTTTCCTTATTGCACTGACTAGAATCTCCAGTGGAATGTTGAAAGGAAGTGGTGATTATTGATGTTCTAGTGCTGGTAAGGCACCCAGTCTATGGTATTTTGTTGTAGCAGCCCAAGCTAAGTCATACAACCTTTAAAATTGTAAGAACACCTTGTTTAGCACTAGTCTCCAAGGTCAACGATGCCGTGAGCCATTTCTGTTTCTTTCAGAAAAACAAATAAACCCTTGAGATTTGAAACATTTGCATCTGTGGGTGCAATCATGTGGGAAAACATAAGGGTAGCAAAGGGCTGGTGTCAGACCGAAGGTTCAGGCATCAAAGAGAAGAGAAAAGCTGACACCAACATGGAGAAGGGATAATGCAGCTCAGTGGGAGAGGCAAAGTTGGGAGAGATTGAGAAGACAGTGGAGGGTGTCCCTCATGGGAGAGGGCACAGGCAAAAGCCCAAGGGCAGGGAACTGCTGGATGGAGCCAGAGGAGAAGAGTTTCCACTGGCTAGGGCTGAGTGCACAGTATCAGTCTATCGACTACATCGAAGGCCCGAAGGCCCCTGCCTGTTGGATTGAGAGTGGGCTGACATCAATGGAACTACTGAGCCCCACATACTGGTATCCTGGGCAGCTCAACAGTCAGAGCCATCAGGCCTTTGCCTGGAGTGTTCTAACATCACTGACAAACATCTCCCTTTCCCAACAGATCGGCTGCTGGGTACTGAGCCATAATGGGAGACCAGAAGGCTGGTTCAGAGCAACCACAGAAGACTCTTTACCCATGAACTGGGGGTCATCTTATGAGATCTAACCATAGCTATCCATACAGGAAATAAAGGATTGAGCTCTGATGACCAGTGTCTGTCCTACCCCAATTTGCTTGGAGGCCTGAATCCCATGTAGCTCAGCTGGCTTATAACTCTGATCCAACATGAGCTTCCGTGTTGGGAGAAGACAATTATTACATCCAGGAGAGGCCTGAGCAGGGTGGAGGATCCACCAAACACTCACAGTGCTGGGGAGTACTTGAGCAGTCCTGATGTAAACTCTGCTGACGGCAAGCCTGCCTTGGGTTCTGCCCCTAATGTGGTTATCATTCCTTGTCCCCTCAGGGGCTTTGGGGAGAATCACCCTGGGAAGAGGTGACAGTAGCAGTGGCTTCTGACCCACCATGCAGTATGGATGGATGCTGTAGGCCAAAGCCTCCTGTGTCAGAGGACTCCTGGTCTTTCTCCCTCCAGGACTCATGGAAGGGCCCAGGGGAACATATATAGCCTACTTATAGGTTTCAGTAAACTGCTTTTGTACTGGTATGTTTTTGGAAAAGGATCCAACATTTATAAAATCAAAAGCCACATAAAAATCCAAATATTTGGCTCTTCTTGGAAAGCCAGGAGGTCTAGGAAACCGATATTAACTCCACTATGTTGTCTCCCCACCCCTTAGGGACAGACCTGCTTGGTGGCAGCCAGAAGTAGAGTAATGATAGCCATAGCTGTGTGATTCTCTAGAAAGCCTGGGTACTCACATACACCACTCCCCATACCATGAGCTCTGTCTCCCCTTAGTGTTGGGGTTCCTACCTGAGCAGTGACAGCCATGAGGTGAACAGCCCAGGGAGGTTAAAACATTTGGATTTCAATTGTGGGTGATACACAGGTCTGCGGGTCCTGAGTTCCGCACACTCTTATCCCACTTGGCCAGAGGCACTGGAGGAGTTTTTGATCCATCTTTAGAACAGCTAAGTCGTCTCTAGTTTATAAGTCTTCTCAACACCACCCAGTGTTTCTTTTTTTTTTTGTGAGGAAGATCAGCCCTGAGCTAACATCCATGCCAATCCTCCTCTTTTTGCTGAGGAAGACCGGCCCTGAGCTAACATCTATTGCCAACCCTCCTCTTTTTTTTTCCCCTTTACTCCCCAAAGCCACAGTAGATAGTTGTACGTCATAGTTGCACATGCCTCTAGTTGCTGTATGTGTGACGCTGCCTCAGCATGGCCAGACAAGTGGTGCGTTGGTGCGCGCCCAGGATCCGAACCCAGGCCACCAGTAGCGAAGCGCGTGCACTTAACCACTAAGCCATGGGGCTTGCCCCCACCCAGTGTTTCTGTACTAATGATGCTCCTGCATGGCCCCTATGGGTCTCAGATTAGTGTTAGGGGTCTCAGATTAGTGTAACTGCCTTTCCCTGCACAGCCACAGCTGATGGAGAACTGTGCCTGCTCCTCTGACCAGGATGGCATGGGCCCACAGTTTACCAGTCTCCCCAACTCCCTATTACCCCACACCGTGTTTCTCTATCCACAGAGAGTACCCACTGGGCCTCCGCTGGTCTCCCAGGGTCATATCTCTATCAGGAACCAGAAGGCGGCTTCTCCTCAGACAGATGGAAAAACCCAGACTTCTCCCTGGGAACTAGGGACCTGCCACCCAATCCAACATTCTAGTGTTGCAGACTAACATTCTCCCTCCTCAGGGTGAGCTCTGCGCTCAGGTAACTCTGAAACAGACAACCATGTTCACTCCACGAGCCCTTCAGACAGCAACGCAAAGTAGGCCACAATAGGACAGAGCAACTTTCTGCATTCCCACCGTACTCTGAGCAGATGCTGTTGGGTGTCCCCTACCAGCCATCCCCCACACTACCCATTTCTTTTCTCAACAAACCCCAACACAACCCCCAAAATTAAAGGTGACTTGACCAATAAAGTCTTTCTTATCACACAGTATAGAGCAGACCAAGTAGATGATCCCAGGGGAGGGTGATTTGTGGGCTCACTGGACACATCACTGGGATTACATGCAGACTTGATGCCATCCATGAGGAACAGGTATCTTCTTGAGAAGCCCAAACTGGCCATCCCTCAAGGCTCCTCGACCAGCGTGGGGTCAGCTCATTCCCTAACCCTCTCAGAGGCAATGGGAATGAAGCCATTCCAATGGGCCCAGGACAATCCAGATTCCCTCCAGGAAAGAGGAAGGGAGGCACAGGGAGCTGTTTTCTCCATGCATATGTAGTTGACTGCTGCAAATATTTGGATCCACGCACACTGGAAAGAGGTTTATGCTCCAGGGGGGAAACAGCTCTGCCCAGCTTCCTGGACTGCTCAGAAAAGGCAGAGCAGCTTCTGAAGCCTTTCCCATATTAATGGTACATGTAGGTAATTTGTGAGTATTCTGCTGCATGAAATTTGACTTGACTTAAGATTTTTCTCACAAAGGCCACTTCCATAAGGCTCCATTCAGGTATGAATCCTTTTATGCTGAGCAAGGTTGCAGAGGCGGCCGAAGATTTTCCCACAGTGGCCACATTCATAAGTCCTTTCTCTGGTGTGAACTATCTGGTGTCGAACAAGTGTGGACCTTTCAGTAAAGGCTTTTCCACACTGGCTGCACTGATACGGCCTTTCTTGTGTATGAACTCGCTGGTGACGAACCAGGTGAGAGTTATTGCTGAAGGCTCTCCCACATTCACTGCACTCATAAGGCCTTTCTCCGGTGTGAACTCTCCAGTGATAAATGAGGCTAGACTTTCGGCTAAAGAACTTCCCACATTCGCTGCACTCATAAGGCCTTTCTCCAGTGTGAACTTTCTGATGTTTAATGAGAATGGAGTTTTGGCTAAAGAATTTCCCACATTCACTGCACTCATAAGGCCTTTCTCTTGTGTGAACTCTCCAGTGCTCAATGAGACTGGAACTGTGAGCAAAGGCTTTCCCACATTCACTGCACTCATAAGGCCTTTCTCCAGTGTGAATTCTCCAGTGCTGAATCAGGCTGGAGCTGCGGCTGAAGGCTTTTCTACATTCACTGCACTCATAAGGCCTTTGCCCAGAATGTACTTTTTGGTGCTGAACTAGAGTGGAGCTATTGCTGAAGGCTTTCCCACATTCACTGCATTCAAAAGGCCGTTCTCCACTGTGAACTTTCTGATGTCGAAGGAGGTGGGAACTTTGGCTGAAGTCTCTTCCACATTCACTACACTCAAAAGGCCGTTCTCCAGTGTGAACTTTCTGGTGCTGAGCAAGGTTAGAGTTATTGTTAAAAGCTCTTCCACATTCACTGCACTCATAAGGTCTTTCTCCAGTGTGAACTCTCCAGTGCTGAATGAGAGCAGAACTGCGGCTGAAAGCTTTACGACACTGATTGCATTCATAAGGTCTTACCTGGGTGTGAACCTTCTGGTGCCGAAGGAAATTGGAGCTTTGACTGAAGGCTCTTCCACATTTGCTGCACTCAAAAGGCCTTTCTCCAGTGTGAACTTTCTCATGCCGAGTGAGGTGTGACCTGTTACTGAAGGCTTTCCCACATTCACTGCACTTGTAAGGCCTTTCCCCAGTGTGAATTCTCTGGTGATGAACAAGTGTAAGTTTGTGGCTGAAGGTTTTCCCACAGTCGCTGCACTCATAATATTTTACTCCACTGTGAAATTTCTGGTGCTTCCTCAGTTTAGATGGGTGACTAAAGGCCTTCCCACACTCCTTACACACATGAGATGTTTCTCCAGTATGACATTTTTGGTGATTAACAAGGGTTGATTTCTCCTCTAAGGAATTTCCAACTGCTGGGCATCTAACTGGTATCCCTTCAGAGTGAGCTCTCAAGTGGTTGAAGAGGGCAGAGCTCTTCTGGAAGGCTTTTCTACAGTCACTGCACTTGAAGAGCTTCTGTGTGTTATGAAGTTCTGGGAGCTGCCCAAGACTGGAACTGTGGGGAAAGGCCTCCCGGCACTCTGTGCTCCTACGTGGCTTCCCACTGCTGTCAGGGGCTGGGTGCTGGATGAGGTCATGGCTTCCTGAGACCTCCTTACCACCTTCCCTGCAAGTGAAGGGCTTCTCTGACAGGCAGACTATAGAGCTCTTCACAGACGAGTTCCTGCCCTTGTCCCATATGAAAGGGTTCTCTCCACTGTGCTCCTTCTGGTGCTGGTGAAGGTGTGCACATGCTCCACAGGCACAGGGGGTCTCCTCAGGAGGTGTTCCTTGATGTTCGTCCAGGTGCAAAATGTCTTTTAAGAATGGGCCACACAAGTCACAGGTGTCAGCCTTTGGGGTGGAATACTGTGCACTGGGGATCCTGACCTGTGAGACCCCTTCTACAGAAGCATTTGGCTTGGAATGGGCTTCCTCATCTTCCACTCCATGCCAACAACCTGAAAGCAGAGAAATTTCCAGTTAACTGAGTGTTCCACTGGTGGAAAGCATGACTCATTAGAAATGTGTGACTGACACATACAGGAATGGGTCCAAGGGATTGTTGACAGGTCACAGGAGCCAGAATAAGAGTGAAGGGCCCACTGGGCAGGATGAGGGCCAGCCAAGCCACAGACTAAAGGAGGCCTCATCAGAGGCAAGAACACAGAGACGGGGCAAAGGACTTGAACAGATATTTCTCAAAAAAGATACAGTCATGTGCCATACAACGACCACTGCATATATGACGGTGGTCCCACAAGATTAGTACCACATAGCCTAGCTATGTAGTAGGCTACACCTTCTAGGTTTGTCTAAGGACACTCTACGATATTTGCAAAATGATGAAATTGCCTATCAATGCATTTCTCAGAACACAGCCCTGTTGTTAAGCAGCACATGACTGTGTGTTTGTACATACATATATACATATATATATATACCTATATGTAAACACATATATGTACACAAATGGCTGATAAGCATGTGAAAAGATGCTCAACATCATTAGTCATTAGAGAAATGCAAATCCAAGCCACAATGAGCTATAACTTCACACCCACTAGGATAGCTGTAAGAGAAAAGACAATAACAAGTGTTGAAGAGGCAGCAGAGAAATTAGAACACTGGTAGACTGCAGTGGGAATGTGAAATGGTGCTGCCAATTTGAAAACAGTTTGGCAACTCCTATGTATCTACCCAAGAGAAATGAATACATATCTACACAAAAACTTGAACATGAATGTTCACAGCAACATTTTTCATAACAGTGAAAAAGTGGAAACAAGCTAAATGCCCATCAACTGATGAACAGATAAGCAAACTGTGGTATAGCTATACAGTGGAATGTTATTCGGCCATAAAAAGGAATGAAGTACTGATATGTGCTACAACATGGATGAACCTCAAAAACATGCTAAGTGAAAGCCAGTCACAGAAAAACATATATTGTGTGATTCCATTTATATGTAATGTCTAGAATAAGCAAATAAATTTATATAGTCATGAAGTAGATTAGCAGTTGTCTAGGACTGGGGGGGGGAAGGGATAAGGGAGGATAGTAATGGGTACAAAGTTTCTCTTTAGGTGATGAAAATGTTCTAAAATTAGATTAGGGTAATATTTATGCAACTATTCAAACATACTAAAAACCACTGAATTGTATACTTTAAAGAGGTGAACTTGGGCCGGCCCGGTGGCTTAGCGGTTGAGTGCGCACACTCCGCTACCAGTGGCCCAGGTTCGGATCCCGGGCACGCACTGATGCACCGGTCCTCCGGCCATGCTGAGGCCGCGTCCCACATACAGCAACTAGAAGGATATGCAACTATGACACACAACTATCTACTGGGGCTTTGGGGGAAAAAAGGAGGAGGACTGGCAATAGATGTTAGCTCAGAGCCGGTCTTCCTCAGCAAAAAGAGGAGGATTAGCATGGATGTTAGCTCAGGGCTGATCTTCCTCACAAAAAATAATAAAATATAAAATAAAATAAAATTAAAATAAAATAAAATAAAATAAAATAAATAAAATAAAATAAAATAAAATAAAATAAAATAAAATGGTGAACTTTATGGTATATCTCAATAAAGCTGTTTTTAAAAAATGTCTCATGCGGGAAGGGACAGAACCTAAGCATGGCCCCACAATGGGTCACCCAGCTAGGAACTGGTCAAGCTCAGTCGGATCCATTAGGCAGACCAGAGATGCCTGATCCCTAGCCTCTGCTCCCAGAAGGCCCTTGGGCAACAGTTATAGGATTGCTCTTGAGGCTGCTCAGGGGAGATAGGGGTAGTGCACACAGCCCAGTTCCAGCATCCACAGCACCTACAACAGGAAACCTGGGAAGCAAGCAGCCTCCATGGTCTGGCTTTGGGATGAACAGAACTTTCTATGGGCTGAAGGCATAGGGCAGAAGCTGGTCACCATGCTGGGGCAGGCCATAAGGGCCTTACCAAGTGAAGTCATGAGCTCAAAGTTCTCCAGCATCACGTTGTGGTACAGGTGCCTCTGGGCTGCATCAAGGAGCCCCCACTCCTCCTTAGAGAAGTACACGGCCACATCTTCAAAGGTCACTGGACTCCGAAATGGTGGGACAGCTGAGCCAGGGGGCCAGCAGGTGAGCTGAAAAACAAACAAAATAGTCAAATGGACACATCCAGGCCCTTGGCCTATGACCCAGAGTTCTGCCACATCTACCACTGGCACTTCCTCTTCTCATGACCCCCTCAGCTCCTCCTCCTTCTCAGGCCCCCACCTCAGAGGAGATAACAGGCCCTGACACCACTGGTATCTTTCTCTCCATGTAGTTCCACTGGTCCCTGTATCGAGGCCAGTCCAACCCGGAGGAACAAAAGGAAGGTGGGCAGATGGACGCTGTCTGAGCTCTGGGCTGGCATGCAGCAGCCACACCACTGGCCAATTTCCCTGTGTCCCCCAGATCACCTCCCAAATACAAGACAATTTGGGCTCTCCTTTCTTCCTTGAGCCTCTAGTACCAGGGCCTTGGACCCACTGGTTTACATTCCCTTACCTTGTACATATCACTCTTTGGACCACACCATCCTCATATCTCCACCCTCCTCCCCACTATCACCTGTCCACACCACAGGCATCTCCCTAGTGTCCCCACATCCCACTGTGCACATGGCATACCTGACAAAGGCAACCAGGATCCAAACCCACCCTAGCCTGCCCAAGATCTCCAAGAACTCCCACTGCCAGGGGCAGCCATCACCCCTCCAGCTAATGCCTCCCCTCCTCGCCCTTCACTTCAGCCTTCACCTCCCAAGAAATACAAGTAGATCTCAAACACCCCTGCTCTCTTCACCTCTGCCCTTTCACATGCTGTCCCCTCACCAGTCATAGCTGTCCTTGTTCCTCCTAACACATAATACCAGACCCACTAGCCCCATCCTCGGCTTGGGGACTCTTAGCTTGGGCTGACCCTTTGTCTTGACATGAGTACAGCCATGTTTGGCCGCTCCATTGACCTACAGCCACCAGCACAA